TTTTTTTTTTTTTTTTAATAAAGACAGGGGTCTCACTATGTTGCCCACACTAGGCTTGTACTCCTGGGCTCAAGTGATGCTCCTGCCTCTCTGCCTTCCAAGGTGGTGGGACTGCAGGTGTAAGCCATTATACTTGGCCCTTTTCTCTATTTTCTTAACATTCTACAATGAACATGTATTAGTTTTGTACCCAGAGGAAACAACAAATTCTCCCAAAAGTAAAAACCAATGCATTTTTAAAAACTTAATACAATAGAACCTCTGTAAGTTGACCACCCAAGGAACTGTCACAAACGGGTCCATATGCAGAGGGGGTGAACATAAGAAACCAGGCCTGCTGTACCTGTGGTCCCTCTCTGGTCTATGATAATTAGGTCAACTTAGGGAAGTCGTCAGCTATGGAGGATCTACTGTATATTCTCTTACTATATCCTTTTTATAACCTTCCTCCCCAAAGAAATCGAAACCACAACAATAACAAATCTTAGGAAAACAGAGTAAAAAGCGAGGCGTGATAGTGCTGGCGTTATTTTGCAGAAGAGGAAAGAGGAATTGATAAATATGATTATGAATACCGGCTTCTAAGTCAAGCAGGAAACTGATAATATTTTTTATTTGTTTGCAGGACAGCAACAATCACTTGAGAAGTGGTTCGTTAGCACAATGGCATCTGTAAACAGAACCAGGGAAATAATTAAAAAACTTAAAGTAAGCAAACAACGACTCTTAGAGGAGATAAACGAAAAGCGTGAATCCAACTGCTTAGTGGAAAGGAGCAATCAAGTCAGCTTATTGAGAGTTCAAAAGAGGCACTTCAGTGGTGCTTATCAGTCCTTTACTCTTACCACAAGCAAAGAACCTGTTCCTGACAGTGGCAGGAGCTCCTGGGTCAAACCGAGTCACCTTTTTCACACCGAGAAAAGGCACTTTACTTCAAAAAGTAAGATGTTGATGGTAGGACTGCTACACAATTCATAGGAGGGATTTATAACGTAAGTTAGGTAGGAAGAATTTGGGGAGTTGAGAGAGGTTCACCAATATTGCCCTGGAGTTGCCTGAAGGTGAAAGGCTCACTAAACTAGGCTCACTGAAACAAGATCTACTATGGAGCAGACTGAGGCTCTCGTTTCCTTGTGAGTACATAATCCCACACTGGCTCACTCAGCAGATTCTAGTTTGGATCTTGAAATCTGCATTCTCAGCAGAACAAGGTGAAGCTGGTGGGGTGAGAACCACCTTTTGAGAAAAGTTATCATAGATAATTACAATAGGCACTCAGAACCTCAGACACTGCCTTCTCTTTCACGGATTTCTGTGGCCCTAACAAATATTTCATGTGTGTATTTGAGGCACCAAGGAGATGATTCAGATGACAAACATTACACAGAAAGCCCTAAGAAGCACCGATAACATGTGCTTGAACGTGCTTTTACAAAGTGAAAGTCTGGCGATTCCGCATTCAGCGAGTCTGTCTGCACCATTTTCCAACAGCATGTGCTCGCTTTGTGTCTCTATCACATTTTGGTAATACGTCAAATGTTATATTATTATTATATAATAATAATTATTATTATTATATCTGTTATGATGACCTGTGAGCAGTGATCTTTCATGTTACCATTGCAATTGTTCTGGGGGTGCCTCGAATCATGCCCATAGAAGGTGGTGAAATCAATGATATATGTGTGAATTCTGACTGCTCTTCTGATCAGATATTGCCCCATCCATCTCTCTTCCTCTCCTCAGGCTTCCCTATTCCCTGAGACACAGCCATATTGAAATTAGGCCTATATGTGTTCAAATGAAAGGAAGTTTCATGGCTCACTTTAAATCAAACGCTAGAAATGATTAAGCTGAGCGAGGAAAGAATGTTGAAAGCCTAGACAGGCCAATGTCCAAGCCTCTTGCACTAAACACTTAGCCAAGTTGTGAATGCAAAGGAAAAGTTCCAGCCACAGTATTTCCTTAAGCCCAAATCTAACCCAGAGCAGGGCTCTAATTCTCTTCTCTTCAATTTTAGGAAGGCTTAGAGAGATAAGGAAGCTGCAGAAGAAAAGTTTGAAGCTAGCAGAGATTGGTTCATAAGGTTTAAGGAAAGAAGCCGTGTCCATAACATAAAAGTGCAGGGTGAAGCAGCAAGGGCTGATGGAGAAGCTGCAGCGAGTCATCCAGGAGGCCTGGCTAAGATCAGTGATGCAGGTGGCTACGCTGAACAGCAGACTTTCCATGCAGACAAACAGCCTTTTATTGGAAAAAGATGTCATCTGGGACTTTCATATCTAGAGAGAAGAAGTCAAGGCCTGGCTTCTGAGCTTCAGAGGACAGGCTGACCCTGTTGTTAGAGGCTGATTCAGCTGGTGATGTTAAGTTGAAGCCAGTGCTCATTGACCATTTCAAAAACTTTAGAGCCCTTAGGAATTATGATAAATCTATTCTGCCTGTGCTTTATCAGTGGAACAATGAGGCCTGGATGACAACACTTCTGTTTACTGGCAGTAACAGTATAGTTTACTGACTATTTAAAGGCTACTATTGAAACCCATTGCTTGGCTCGGTGCCTGTGGCTCAAGTGGTTAAGGCGCCAGCTATGCACCCCGGAGCTGACAGGTTTGAATCCAGCCTGGGCCCACCAAACAACGATGGCTGCAAACAAAAAAACAGCCGGGCATTGTGGCGGGTTCTTGTAGTCCCAGCTACTAGGTAGGTGGAGGCAGGAGAATCGCTTGAGCCCAGGAGTTGGAGGTTGCTGTGAGCTGTGACGCCACAGCACTCTACCCAGGGTGACAGCTTGAGGCTCTGTCTCAAAAAAAAAAGAAACTCATTGCTTGGATAAACAGATTCCTTTCAAAAGATTACTGCTCATTGACAATCAACTAGTCACTCAAGGTCCCTGATGGAGATATACAAGGAGATGAGTGTTTTTTTCATGCCTGCTCATGGATCAAAGAGTAACATTGACTTTCGAGTCTCATTATTTAAGAAATGCATTTTAGAAGGAGGGAGGGGATAAGATGGGATCTCACCTAATGTGCACATTGTGAGGGTGTATAACACGCCCCTGGGTGAGGGGCTATTCTCCAAATGGAACTTTACCCTGGAAGTGAGAACAATGTAACCTAAATATTGTACCCTCATATTAATTTGAAGAAAGTTTTTAAAAAAAGACCATAAAGCCGGGCAGCACCTGTGGCTGAAAGGAGTAGGGCGCCGGCTCCATATACCGGAAATGGCAGGTTCAAACCCAGCCCTGGCCAAAAATTGCAAAAAAAAAA